CCCCAAGAACTCCCAAAAGTGTGACACGAGAACCGCCGAGGAGAAGGCCTCAAGAGGCAAGCATCGCCCATTTCCCAAAAGGAAAACGTATATTCTCAGCACACTCGCATTTTTTATCTTGACAGTTTCTGAGACTGCCCAAAGGACCCCCAAGCTCGTCACAAGACGGCCGCGGAGGCCCCCCAGAGGTCCCGGCCCTGAGACGGCCCCAGGGGGCCCCAAGACGGCCCAAGAGAGCCCCGAATGGATCCGAAGAGAGCCCAAGAGGGGGAATACGAATTGATATTTCGAGCCTTTCTCACCAAGATGGCCGCAAGAGCCCCCCAGAGGTCACCGAGGCGCCCCAAGAGGCCACAAGAGGCCTCCACGACGCCCCCAAGAAGTCCCCAACAGGCCTCCAAGAGGCCCCAAAAGGCACCTCAAAAGCACTCAGGAGCCCTCAAAGAGGCCCCTGAGAGGCGTCCCAAGAAGACCTGGTGTTCATCCAAGAGGCTAGTTGCTGACCCACCGCCCAGGCCCGGTGACGGGTTGGGCCGAAGGCCAACAGAACCTCCACGATCGTCGCAAGCTCTGACTCCTTCTGGGGATCGGCGGAATGGCGCAAACCACTTGAATACATACAGTCGGACTTGATTGGACAGGACGCGCGAGAGGACACAAGACCCTTCCAAGGACCACATTGCCATAGGAATGTAGGAGGCATGAATCGCAAGGCACAGGACACAAGGGTACCCTTTTGGTTTGGCAGGGTCGACCTACTAATCCGGCTCGACTGTATGCAAAGTGCGCGAAGGGTGTCCCGGTAAGTCGGGCCTCGGCAGGGGTGTAGAGCCGAGTTCCTTGCAAGGAGATGCCACACGTGGTGCAATCCACGTGATACAGTCTACGCTGTAAAACCCAAAATCGTCTAAACCAAAGCTCGCGACGATGACGATGACGGTCGACAAAGCCCATGCCGGCGTCGATGCTAGTGACTATGATTGATGGTGAAGGTGGTGACGATGATGGCGGCACTGGCGGCGTTTCACAAAGACGATACTGACGGTGAAGTGCGCGCGTGTGGGAATTCAACAAAGCCTTACGTACTGTTTATTGGAAAGCACATGATTGTTTCATATATGCTTGAAGAGTTATGGATTGAAAAACGTTGAACACCAACGGCTTACAAATGATTTCGACACGCGGGCATGGCGGCGCGCGCACTTGGCTCGGATAGCATTAGTTGAAACGGATGCGTGCAGTGGGCGCATGCCAGATCAACGCGGATGCACCGAGTGGTGAGATGAGAACGCAGGTCCTGCCGAGATTGCTAAAATCCGATGGTGTACACTAATGTGCTGGTGTGATGTCGACATGTGCGCGCGTGCGAATCTGCGATGAGCGAATGTGAGCGCATGGTCTTCTTTGACTGGGATGGGGGCGTCAACAGCTGGTTGCCTGGGATGGAATGATTCTCCATCGCAAGTTCACGAGACGTCCGAATCAGATTTAGATTGCAGCGTCCCAGGGGGACACGATACATCTTGGCTCGGGAGGGGGGGCCTTACCTCTCCTCTTGAAAAGAGAACACGCGACGCGCAAAGTATGGGGTGCCATATGTGCAGCCAATAGATAGGTTCCAATTCTGCGTGCATAGTGAGACGCCAGCCAGCGCACGAGGTGGCCACGGGCTGGCCACCGACCGAAACCCCCGAAACTCCAGAAATATCACCACTGAGATTACCAGCGCTGCTGGCATGAGTGCTACGGATATGTATGCCGCTGCAACAGGCACTACCACACTACCATTCAAACTGTGGCTGCTGCACTTCCGACCATTTTGTCACGAGTTCGAGTCAGACCCACTTTAAACCGCCCTCCTGCGGGCGCGCACATCCCAGACGAAGAGAGCCACGTACACGGCCCACTCCCAGAGCCCAGCCATCTCGAGGAGGAGGCAGTACTGCTGGGTAAGAAGCTGGAAACTCTCGCAGCCTGCGGGAGGATGGAGCGCTCGCACCAGCAGCACCGAATGTGCTGCAAGACCAGGTGGGGTAACTCAAGCTAAAGACACCTTCGCCGACTCTGGCCAGGCACAACATGGGCCCAGCATTGGGGTACACGCCCTCCCCGCCCAGCCAGGAAGGCGCATGCTCCTCCGTCTCCTCCTCCTTCCCCTCTACTCCCCATCTGGTATCCCCCAGGCAGATGATCTATGGTGGGGAGGCCGTGGAGAAGAGTGCGCAGTGGGGAGGAAGAAGGAGGGAGGAGTGCAGGCATGGAGGACTGCGAGGAGGAAGGAGATGTAGGGAGGAGGGAAAGAGAGGGAAGAGGGAGGGAGGGATTGATGAAGGGATTGACAGAGGGGAAGGAGCAGGGGCACGGGAGGGATGGACGACTGGAGGGATGGAAGGAGAAGGGATGAAACGATGGAGATGTAGAGGACGAAGCGCAAAAGTCGGACGTGGAAAAGTCACCAAAAACTGCTGCCCTTCCCGCCGTGACCCCCTTTGCGGAGCTCCTGGGAGGCCCTCGTCGCCACCGCTGAACTCGCCTCGAAACTCTGGTCAGAGTGCACCGGGTCAGAGCGCACCCTGGGAGAGACCCCCGGGAGCAGCAGTATCGGTACCTTCTGGCTTCCCCAAGGAAGAGTTAGGTCGGGCATGTCCCCCTACAGGCTGATCTTGGACGAAGGATAAAACGTACACCAAATATATTCAAAGATAGTAAACAACAAATCGTCCGCATACTATTTCTTACTATCTTTGACTATTCCTGCGGTAGAAGAACAAGCCGGACTGAAAGGAAGGGAGGGACAGCGGAGGGAGGCCGCGAGGCGCAGGGGGTCGGACGGAGGCGGGGCGGAGCTGGCGCCCCGAGGGAGCAGCCCGGCAGGGAGAGCGGGAGCCGGCCGGCTGCGGCAGCGGGCGCGGCCGCGGCACCCGGCAGTGCGGAAGGGCCGCCCACAGGGTCACGCCTCCTCCTCCTCCTCCTCCTCCGCCTCCTCCTCCTCCTCGTCGTCCTCCTCCTCCTCGTCCTCCTCCTCCTCCTCCTCCCTCCTCCTCCTCCCTCCTCCTCCTCCTCCTCCCCCTCCTCCCCCTCCTCCCCCTCCCCCCTCCTCCCCCTCCTCCTCCTCATCCTCCCCCTCCTCCCCCTCCTCCTCCTGTGACGCCGACTGCATCCCCAGAACGAACAATGCCCCAGGAGGGTGCCGGAGCGGCCAGGGAGGGGCCCAGACCTCTGACTGCCTACCAGAGCACCCCAACATAGCCCGAAGACCCAAGCTTCGGGTTCGGGGGTGGGTGCGGGTTCCACATGTGATTTGTCGATGTTCCCCGACCCCTTCCCCCACTGGAAACCAAAGGTAAATCTGGGCCTTCGGGTTGGGTTGGGGTGGCCTGGTGGGCGGTGAACCTCGGGGCGTAACGCGGAAAACACGGCTACAAAAACGACGGCGCTGGGGGCCACTTGTGGGCCACGGGGCCGCCGATCAGTCGCTGGGATGGCGTCGAGAGCTACGGGGGGGGCGCGTCGTGAAAACCTCACCGGATGGGAGGCGTTTTGGAGGAGGACAGCGTCAAAGGCAGGGAGGACTAGGAGGACCGGGGGGAGGAAGGCAGGCACAAGAACGAGGAGGAGGAGGAGGAGGAGGAGGAGAAGGAAGAGCGAGGAGCGAGGAGCACGAGCACGAGGAGGAGGAGGAGGAGGAGGAGGACGACGACGGAACCGACGAAGCGGGGCAGGACGGCAGCGTGAAGACAAGGAGGTCAGCGTGGATGAGCTGGTGGAGAGCGGGGAGGGCGAGGACGACGAGGCTCTCGAGGATGACGGCGAGGAGGATGAGAAAGACGACGAGGCGGGAGAGAACGAGGACGACGGGGAGGCCCACTGGGAGAAAGGCAATGTGAAGAAACGCGTAGAGAACATTGAGGAGAACAGTAAGGCGCACGAAAAGAAGGGCGACAAGGAGGAGGACGACGAAGAGAACAGGGACGAGGAAAGAAGTGGAGGAAGCGGGGGTGCTTGGGACCTTGGGGGGGCGACCCTGGCTAGCCGAAGGGGGCTGGAAAGACCGTCTGGAGCTGTCTTGGGGCCTCCTGGAACCCTCTTGAAAGCGGCTTGGGGTCACTATTGGGGCCAAGAAGTGCAAACGGGAGCCCCATCTAGAGTTTTTCCAGAGTATTGGTTACGCTCATCGTTCCTCGAACGCGCTTCCCGAGACGTGGCAAAACAACTGTCTCAGAGATGGGGTCGAGGGCTATCGGGAGGAACGTCGTGAAAATATGCCGGCCCCCTTGGGGGCGCAAGGCTGTGACATTTTCTGATGGCCTGCTGTCCTGTGTTTCTTGTGTTGTCTCTTGTCTGTTGTCTCTCGTCTAGCAGGGTGCCTGGAGCGTTCACACAATCCACAGGGATGGGGGGATCCGTGAAATCACCAGCCGCTCTAATCTAGGTCCAGGTCAGGCATGTCCCCCTACAGGCTGAGTTCGGCAGAAAACAATAAAATAGTGAAAGAGATTTCAAACATATCCATACTCGAAAATCGCCCCGACTATCTTCTACGATTTTTGAATTTGCCTCACGTGGAGGGACATGCCCGACCTATTGTTCACCAGCGTTGCAATTTAGATGGCCCCCGGATTTTTAAACAGGACGCCACCGCGCGGCCAGGAGGGCCCGAGAGGTCTCCAAGACGACTCCCCAGGAATCTCCGAAGAAGACCCGAAGACTCCAAGACGGTCGAAGATAGCCCTCGGCAGAGCAAGACACACCGACCACAGAAATACTGCCTTCTATGCTTCTTTTCTGCGTTCCACCTTTTTACTTCCCATGTCCAAAGATCAGGGGCCCCCGGGATTGCCAAGGGCAGCCCCGGGATGGCCCCAAAGTGCCCCGGGATGCCGACCAGGATGGCCCAACTGGGCCCCAAAAGACGCCCCGATGCTCCGAGAACGCATCACCCCAGACGGGCGCGAGCGTAGCCCGCGAGAAGCCCCCGAAAGGCCCCCGAGAGGCCGCGCGATGGTCCCGGGGCGGCCCGATGAAGCCACAGGCTCGCTCAGCACCGGAAGCCCGCGGCAGAGGGCGCAGCCCCTCAGACCTCACGTCGAGGTCGAGGGTCGAGGGGCCCTGGGGGGGCCCCCCCCCGGGCCTGCACGGCTGCCCCCCGGCCGTAGGCGACCCGAGGAGGAGGAGGAGGAGGAGGAGGAGGAGGAGGAGGAGGAGGAGGAGGAGGAGGAGGAGGAGGAGGCAGGGGGAGGGAAGGAGCGGGAGGTGGAGGAGGAGGAGGAGGAGGAGGAGGAGCAGAAGGAGGAGGAGGAGGAGGAGGAGGGAGGAGGAGCGCCAGCGGTCAGGAGGGGGGGGGGGAGAGGGAGGTCTGGAGCCCCACGGGCGCGCGCGCGGGCGCGGAGGGTGGGCGCCCGCCTTGCAGCCGCACGAAGCTGGGCTGCAGCGAGCTGGGGTGCACAAGCGGTCGCTCCTGCTCGCCTTGACGAGAAAGTGGTGAAGCACAAGTCAAGTGCGACACCACACGCGCAACAGCTATCGGGGTCATTGGGCCACCTGCATGGAAGGATACTGTCCAAGGGGTCCTCGCCCCAGGTGGCAGGGAGGGCAGGCAGGAGACGACGAAGAGCGGGAACGATCTCAGGGCAGCACACATAATGAAGAATATTGCCTTGGCTGTTTTCGGAGTTACAATTGAAAACGCACCCAGCCACAGGCATTCTGCATCGTCTCGTCGTCGGCCAAGCATAAATAGGGTCTTTAACACACTTGTTTGCACGAAGGGGGGAGGAGGGAACCTACTCTATTCAGCTGGGAGATAGTAGCGTCAATATCAGAAGAGGTCCGAAGTGTAGGTAATGTCCAGTAAGAGGCCCGATGATGCAGAAGATCGTGAGGGGTGACGGTAAATCTGCATATCCTTGATAATATTCGTAAGTTTCCGTTGAAGGGTAGAGGGCGGGAAATCGAAATCGATCGACGGGTGAGAGGAGTAGAACCGATAGGCCAACACCATATGCTCTAGAAACGAAGACGCCTGGGTGGGTAAGTATCTGCTCGCGATCACCGCTTCATCCGACTCCCTGAGCTCGCCCATCCAACCAGCAAGGGCATGACATCGTTCACTGAGGCGGGCTGCGCGGACGATAGTGGCTGCACAGAATACACGGAGGGACCTGCACTCCACCGGCATGCCCAGAGACTTTCAAATGCAAGTACGCCAATGGAGGGAAAGCGTATCTCGGCGCACGAGCAAGCAGCTGATGAGCTTCACGTTCTGCATTCAGCACACGGGGGCATGTCTGGAAGAACTGGGCAATGTGGCTGGTGACAGGGCTGGCGTACATATTGTAGGCAACGATGTTTTCGACAAAGGACTTGTCCATTTGACGGACCTGATGGGTACGCTGGATGAGTTTTGCAGCAGGCGGGGCCTAGGAACGCTTCGGCCCGTCAAGGCCGACCCGGGCTCCCAGATACTTGGCGACAGAGTCAATTTTGAACTTGCCCACGCGGATCCCCTGGAGCCTGAACTTAATACGAATATCCTCTATGCTGTCTAACTTCAGCAAGACGAATGCGCACTTCCCAATGTTAAACCATAGCCCGCATTTTGGAGCTCCACCCACTAGAATACTCACCACAAGCGGAAGGGCACTAAACAGGTTCTCAGCAACAATCGCGAGGTCGTCGGAGGATGGAGCGCGTGGATCTCCCTGAGGATCTTCCTGAGGATGGGATCTATGATACGGGCGAATAGGACCCCAGATAGCGGGCAGCCTTGTTTCATGTCACGGGCGCAAGAAAAAAACACCAACGAACGAGGGGCCCACCGAGATCCTGGTGAAGACCTGGTTACACAGCGTTTTGATCGCCTTGCTAATGCACGGGGGAATATTCATCAACTCAAGCACGAGGGGGGCCCACGCGTGAAGGTCAGCGGGGAAGGCGTTCTTGAAATCGAACAGCGATGCCGAGCGCGTGTCACCATCCGAAACGGTGAACATCATATTCCACGACAATGTATATAAGCTTTCGACCACGAACGAAACCACGTTGACAACTGGCGGTAGTCTCCTGAGCCACAGCCGAGAGCGGAAGCGCAACCATAGCCGAAATTATTTGGTTGTCGGCGTTCGAGAGCGATAGCATACGAGTTTCCGAAGCATGCCTGGTCTCCGATCCACCGTTATCAAGCTCACCTTTTGGGGGGGGGACACCACGGGAAAAGTTGAAATCCTCGCTCATGTGCCCAGCGTCCAGGAGATACTCATATACCTCATATATGGCGCGGATCGCAGGTTCACCACCTGCGCGCCAGGCACTGCGCGCGAGGCCGTCTTTACCCGCCGCCGAGTCGCGCTTGCGACGGACGAAGTCAAACATGGCAGTGAATTCGACACGCCGGTCAAGCCGTCGGTGAGAGGAATTGACAACTTGGCGATCTTGATCTGGGAGCCTCTGGACATGTTCGAGGCAAGGGTCACTTTCAGGAGGGGGAAGGGGGGCCCGGGATCTTCAAAGACCTTAGACCAAAAGTCTGATAATAGGCGAGCAGCAGCAAACGGATCAGCGTGCCCTGCGCCCTCCTCATCACGAGCTCCTGCAAGAAAGACCCTGGGACTGGTGGCGGCCCATGCGGCAGACATTCGCCGAGTGCGCAGCAGGTGGGACTCCTTCATCTCCACAGAAAGATTCGCATCATGCATGACAGAGGCCTCTTCGTCCTCGAACTGGGCCTGCATCAATTCGCCTAGCAACTGGTGGAACCCCTGCCAGTCCTTCCAGACGCCCTCGGAGACGGAGTAAAAGTCGTGGAGCCTCGGGAACCCCTTAAGCGCCTTGGTGACCCGATGGCGGGAGTCGGAACGGATGGCCCTGAGGGGCCCCAAGCAGCAACTCGCTTTGGCAGCGTCGGAGTCGGCCCCCGCAAGGTCCACGCACTGCCGAACCTGGCCCGCCGAGAGCTTCAGGAGGTCCTCGATTTCCAAGGGCTTCGTGGGGGGGGGTGGAAAGAAAATCGGCGTTGGCCTCGGAAGCAGCACTAAAGAACTCAGGGAACATCCGGTGCTTGAACAGCCACGGCGGCGCCGGTTGAAAATCGATCTCCTGCCTGGTCAGCGCGCGAATACTCAGGAACACTGGTGCGTGACCTGAGGGTTTCTCTATGTCCGCTATGTTCCACGCCGTTGCACTCTGGGGGGGGGGGGGGGGGTCGAGGATGATGCCAGAGGGAGTATTGCAATATATACGGTCAAGACGGCCAAAAGAGGCATTGTTATTGACGGCGATTCTGCGCGTGTAGTTCGTTTGTTCATCCTCCAGGAACTCAGGAAAGATCGCGTTGAAGTGTTCGGCAAGACGACTGCGCTGGAAACGTTCGACCCCAATAGATACCGAGAGACGGGCTTCGGCGACCTCATAGTAGTTGAAATCCCCCGCAATAAAAACTGAAACATACTGTGGTGTGAGCAACCGAGCACGGATAGCAATGAACTTAGTTATGGTATACGCCTCCGCCCACTCTGGACCCGCGTGAACACTCACCACCCGGATGCATTCACTCCTGCTCTGCAACGCCAGAATTGCCAGACGCCCAGCCACGATGACGCGATACGCGACAGCGGGGAGGAGGGAGAGGAGAGACCGCTGTACAATGACCAGATTTCCTCCTGCAGCTGAGGAGGGGCAAAATGTTCCGAACACGATGTGGTTCGGAAGCTCCCGACGGATCGTTTCCAGGCCCCCTTCGAAACCATGGGGCTCCTGGACACATACAACAGCATGATTGTTCAAGATCTGCTGGAGACCCCGAAATGTCGCTTGGCTTCTCGACGACGCTGCGTGCTGGGAGCAGAAAAGAGGCTGAGCATTCCAAGAGGCCATACTGAACGAGCGGCCATCGGCGGGCAAAAAGGGCATCACTGAGCGAGGCCCCCCCTGACGCTGGGGACCCGCACGTGGGTCGCCTCGCGGAAGCACGCGAGGGGGAGGTGGAACGTTGGCCCGCGGTATCTCCCCACGATATTCAGGCCCCCCCCCCCCCCAGGAGACGAGGTGGAGTACTAGCGTTGGCCGCGAAGAACTGGTTATCATGAGCACCTCCCCGATGCTCATCTGCTTGTGGTGCACTGGGCGCCGTGTGAAATTGCCCTCGAGAAAGATTTCATAGTTCCACATCTGCTTGCGAGAGAGAGGCGATGATGTCGTGGATCCCCTTGGGGTCGATGCCCCACTCGCGGATGGCATCGTCCTGCGGCTCGAGACGGAACTTGTCTGGGCCCTCAGCTTTGACTGCGATGATCTCCCACGCATCATCTGGCGAGGAGACGAACACCATCCCTTTGAACCCGTTGGCGCCCAGCCTCGCGCTGGCGCCCCACTTGTCCTATTTGGCAATGGCGGAGCGCACCTCTTTGTATATCTTGCCACAGGCCCTTTGTTTGTCACGGACGTCGAGCGGCAAGTCTCCCCTTGCCCGAAGGTGGTGGAGTTGATTGTTTCTTGGGTCCGTCCATGTGAGCTTGGCCTCGTTCGCCTCCTTGGTGAGCTTACTGGCCTGCTCTTCATTCAGGAAGATGATTTTGTATGATTGAGCAACTTTGTGGCAGACCGCCGTGGTGTCGCTCAGGGAGATGAACTTATTCTTCAGCTCGTTGTGGAACTCCTCGCGGACGTTGGCGAGGACAGGCCTTTGCCATGTTCCCACCCAGCGTACACATAGGTCTGGACCTCCACCGCCATTGTTGTAGTATCCTGCTGGCCTGGCCCTCTTGATACGAGAGCCCTCTGTCGTGCTGGCCTCCGACAAAGGCCGTGACATTGACGAGTACTGGTCCTGCAGCGCCTTGATCTGGGCAGTGTGTGCGTCTATCTTCTGGTTGAGCGCGTTCTGCTGCTGGACGGAGTCTGCAATCTTGACATGAATGGCTTGAACCTCTGTGCCGATCGTCGCTTTGATCCCCGCGACGTCAGACGAGAGGGAAGTCTGTAGCCCATTCAGGAGGGCTTGAATTTCAGCCACGGATGCCATGGCTGCAGCTGGTCTGTGATCTTCCACAGAGAACGGCGCAAAATGCGATCTTCACTGTGGTGGAAGGATGCTCCGCCAATGGCGGAGTCGAATGAGAAGACTGAGTGCCAGACCCCTGGAGCGCGGGCCGAGTCTGGACACCCGTCGAGGGACAACTCTCTCTAAGCCACCTCGAGAAATGTTTTACTTGAGCCAAAATGGCTACGGAGGAGGGAGGAGGAACAGGAGGAGGAGGAGGAGGAGGAGGAGGAGGAGGAGGAGGAGGACGGGTCGCCTAAGCCCTTCGGAGAAACCCTCCAACCCGGTCCCCCCTGTGGACAGGGGGAGAGCATAATATCCACCCCCATAATAAGCACCCGGACAGGCGAAGCCGTTTCGCAAACGTGCCCAATCGACTACCCCCCTCTGACCCAAGACGTCCCCAAGACTGCCCAAGAGGCCCCCGAGACACCCAAAGAGCGCTCCAAGACGCCGATGATGACCCCAAGACGGCCCAAGAGGCCGCCAAGTGGCCTCACAAGAGGGCCCGAGAGGCCAGACTCATCAAGTTTACGATGGTTTTGGAAGGATGTTGGCCTTGTCTCCTTTTCGGCCATCCGATGCTCCAAGACGGCCCAAGAGGCCCCCAAGAGCGCCCCAAGACGGGCCAAGAGGCTTCCAAGAGGGCCCCAAGAGGGCCCAAAGAGGGCCCCGAGACGGCCCAAGAGGCGCCCAAGACGGCCCAAGACGGCCCCAAGACGGCCCCAAGAGGGGCCCAAGAGGGGATTCACGAACCGAAAGCTCGAGCCTTCCGCCCCAAGAGGGCCCCAGGAGGCCCCGAGAGGCCCCCAAGAGGCCCCCAAGAGGCCCCCAAGAGGGCCCAAAGATGCCGCCAAGAGGCCCCAAAGAGGCCCCAGGAGGCACCCAGGAGGCCAAAAGAGGCCCCAAGAGGCCCCAGAAGTTCAAAAATGCCTCCCAGGCGCCCCCGAACGGCTTCTCAAAAGACCCCAAGAGGCCTCCCAAAGAAGCACCTTGACGACGACCCTGTTTGGCCCCAAGAGCAACACAAGATGCCAACGAAAGGCTTCCTCCTCCGACCCTTCCCCTTCCCCTTCCCCCTCCTCCTCCTCCTCCTCCTCCTCCTCCTTCTCCTCCTCCTCCTCGTCCTCCTCCTCCTACTAATCTTCATTCTCCTGCTCTCCTTCTCATCATCTCCTCCTCCTCCCCTCCCCTTCCCCATCCTCCTCCTCCTCCTCCTCCTCCTCCTCCTTCTCCTCCTCCTCCTCTTCCTCCTCCTCCTCCTCCTCCTCCTCCTCCTCCTCCTCCTCCTCCTCCTCCTCCTCCTCTGCGGCGCCACAATGGCCCCGGGCCCACGGCGAAGCAGTAGCGATCATGCAACATGGGCCGGCGGAATGAGCGAAGCGATTGAATAAGCACCCCGACAGGCGAAGCCGTTTCGCAAACGTGCCCAGGGAAGGAATCGACCAGTGAGGGGCTGTTTGGTGAACGACCAGGGCCGTTTAGTAAACGCCGATTGGCCGGGGTCGGAGTGGTTTTTCCTCCCTTGAGCAAGGGGACCACCTCCTCTGGGGGGGGTCGCCAGCGGGGGTCCTGGGGGAGGTCCCGCCTGGGGGGGGGGGGGTCCCAGGTCAGAATGTCCCGCCCCCCTCTGGCGCCAGCGGGGGTCCTGGGCGAGGTCCCGCCTTCAGGGTCGGCGACACCGGCCATAATGCCTTCACAACATTATATATGGGAACTGGGTGAGGCGCGGCACAACGATCAGCAAGTGTTGAGACAGAAGGCGGAAAAGAAGAGCACTCGAGAGGCGACGCAAGGTGATAGGAGAACAGCTGCCAGATTCAATTTGCGAACTACGGGCGGCCAACGAGGACGGAGAGCGCAGAGGAGAAAGGCTCTCGGCCCAGCCTGTCTCCCCACCGCAGAAGGTAAAAAGCAACAACGCACAGTGCCACGAGCACGCGACGTCCAAGGGCCGCGCCGAGCACGTGGTGTAGTCGTACAGCGCGCAGTCCGTCCAGTCCGCCAGACCTACCGCGGCACGGATGATGCCGAAGCACAGGTCGTGGGCGCCGCTGCTGCCAGAACGTGGCGGAGCGGGCCAGAAACTGCAGCTGCGCCCATGCCTGGAGGCCACAGCGTGGGCGCGGCGCGGCGGCGGGAGGGCGCAGCAGAAGCGCACAGAGGAGCGTCCCTCGGAACGCCCCACCCCCTCCCACACCCCGAGAAGAAAAAAGCCGACAGAGAGATATGGAGGCTTCTGGTGGTCTCCGGAGGTCTGCGGAGATCCCCAGGAGACTCTCGACTTCTTCCGAATAACTCCGTAATCCAGAGGACCAGAAGAACTCAACGAGAACTCGTGCCAGACTGGGACAGAACGGTACACAGGAAGGACGGGATGGGAGAGGAGGGAATCTGAGCGGTCGGGGAGGACGGGAAATGAACCGTGGCTCGTCCTGCCTCTCATGTTCCTTCTCCTCCGCCTGCGCCACCCTCTGCTCGACCACCACCTTGATAATCCGCCTGCAACCTTCCAGCCTCCTCCTACTACTCCTCCGCCTACTCCGCCTCATCAACAGCAACCCTCTCCGTTTCCTCATCCTCCTCCTCCTCCTCTTCCTCCTGCTCCTCCTCCACTCCCATGCGGCTGATCATCAATTTCGAGTAGGCCTACTCATTATGACTCCGCTCCTCATCCTCATCCTCATCCTCATCCTCCTCGTCAGAATCCTCCTGTATCTGACCCGCCGTCTCTTGATCATGATCCATCCGTCCATCCATCCATCCATCCCATCATCCACCACCAGCAGCAGCAACGCATCATCATCATCATCATCATCATCATCATCATCATCATCATCATCATCAGCATCATCATCTTCATCTTCATCTTCATCATCATCAGCAGAAGCAGCAGCAGCAGCATCAGCATCATCAGCAGCAGCATCATCGTTATCATGACCATCAGCAGCATCAGCATCATCATCAGGACCGGCATCAGCATCAGCATCGTCATCATCAGCAGCATCATCACCCGTATCAGCATCATGATCATCATGATCATCAGCATCAGCATCATAATAATCATCAGCAGCATCATCAGCAGCATCATCAGCACCAGCATCGTCATCATCGTTTGCATCATCACCACCACCACCACCACTGCCATCACCATCGTCATCATCAGCCGCACCAGCATTGTCATCATGATCAGCATCATCCTCATCATCGTCACATCATCGTCATGGTCATCATGATAATCATCGTCATCATCATGACCACCACCATCATCAACCTCATCACAATCATCCTCATCCTTATCAGCATCGCCATCATCATTACAATCGTCATCATCATTATCATGATCACCACCGCCACCATCATCATCACAATCAGCATCATCGTCCTCATCATCAGCATCATCATCACAATCATCATCATAATCAGCATCATCATCATCATCTTCATCCTCATCGACATCAACAGCATCAGCATCATCAGCATCAGCATCGTCAGCATCATCAGCATTACCCGCATCAGCATCATCAGCATCAGCATCATCATCATCGTCGTCAGCATCATCATCAGCATCATCATCAGCATCATCAGCAGCAGCATCAGCAGCAGCATCAGCAGCATCAGCAGCATCAGCATCAGCAGCAGCATCAGCATCAGCATCATCATCAGCAACATCATCATCATCATCATCATCATCATCATCATCATCATCATCATCATCATCATCATCATCATCATCATCATCATCATCATCATCATCATCGGCATCGTCATCTTGGGGGCGCCCAGAACTCTCCACAACCCCTCCTACACGACGTCCAGAACCCCCCCCCCTAGAACTGCCCCGAAATAAAGGAGGGGGGGGGCGGGGCGATGCTGGAGGCCTCTGCCAGCCGCTCCCGCCCCCCGCCCCTCCCCCCTCCGACCGCCGCGCGCCAAACGCGAGGGCGAGCCCCTCCGCCCGCCCGTGGCGAGGCGGGCGAGACGCAGCACGGCGGCACGCCCCGCGCACCCGTCGGCTACACGCAGGAGTGACCCTCCGTGCGCGGATGAAAGCGGCGCGAGGTGGCCAGCAGGGCTGGGCCTAAAAAACGCTGTTTTTCGTGTGGTGTTCGTTTCGTTGTTCGTTTTGCTCTACCTGTTTTCCTGTACCTCCCTGCCAAAACAAAGAAACAAGCACAGCCGAAATCCAGCAAAACAGGTGGCCAGATCCAAGCGCGCCAGTAGCCACTGTCGCATCGCGCTCAGCGATCGGGGGGACAACCGTATGCCCGCACCAAAGAAGGTCACTCGGGCGAAGAGTCACTTCTACGCGCAGTCGAACCTGCGGACCTCCCACATGGGGCCGGAGTCCAGTCCTTTCGAGGCGGGGGTACACAGAACCATCGCCTGGAATATCGATTTTCGCGGACCCCCGCAGGCGGTCGATATGGGTATATGTTGGCCCCCCAAGGGCCCAAATATATCCACATCCACCGCCCACTGGGTCCCCAACACTTCGGTTCCCAGGGGGGGGATATGGACACATTCCCGCCTCGCAGTCATCGCGCTAGCCTAGGAATGCATAGTAAGGCAAGAAGGGGGGCTTCTCTGGCCACGGCGGGCAGAAGCCAGAAGCAAATTCCGCGACACGCATACAGCTAAGGAGCGGCCAGAAAACCCGCGCCCCTCCCGAGCCCGAAAGGGTCCTTATTTCGGCGTCTTGACTGCACGTGGGGGTCAGAAGATCGCGCCCATCGCGATGCATCACCGATGCATGGGCAACTCGGCGTGGAGAAATCGGGTTGGCTTCCTCCGCCTCCGCCTTCGCCTTCTCCTCCTCTTTTGGCTGCCTCTTTCGCTCCGGAGTGGGATTCCTTGGGGCGAAGCCTAATTGTTTACTTTCATTTAGGTTCTCTTTGTACCATGCGTTTCCCCTCTAGCCGACCGCATCGTGGTTGCACGCAGGCCTCACCGAGATCGGGTTTCACATCGAGCCGCATCGCCGATGCATCGTCGATGCGGCACGATCCTCCGACCCCATCTACTCGGAGCCCATCTAGGAGGCCTAAAGTTAAGTCGGGCGCGTCCCCCTACAGGGGTATTTTGGTCGAGAAATCAAAACTACTAGAACAATGCCCCCCAAATGCCCCAGAAAACATCAACAAATCGTCCCCAGACTATTTCTTCATTTTGAGTATTCCCCCTGTAGAGGGACAGGCCCGACCTAAGCCCAGAGCACTGCGACGAGGTGCCGTCGGGCGAGAGGCCGCCGCGAGCGCTCCGCGGACGGCTCGGCGACGCTGCCGCACCAGGATGGGTGGCACGGGGCCGCCGGCGCAGAGCCCAGCGAGAGAGATCGGGGCCTGTTGGGCGGCCTGGGCCCCCCCGTGGGCCTCCAGAGGCCCCCAGATGCCTCCGGGGACCGCGGGTTTGGGAGCCCCGAAAGGGTGCGGTGCCGGACCGCGCGGAGACCTCGGAATCCCCCATGACCTCACCGCACGGTCCGTCACCGCACGGTCTTGGGACCCCGGAGGCCCCCGTCGCCCGAGACGTCCCTGGAGAACGACCCGAGTCCCAAAACCGTGCGGTGACCCGAATCCCCACCGACTCACCACACGGTGTGGTCACCACCCCTCTTGGGGGCCCCAGACGGGTGTGCTCTGGGGAACTTCGGAGAACTGGTGTGGAACCTGCGCCAGAGAAAGCAGAGGGCGTACTTTGTGTGTCTATCTGGGAGGGCAGCTCTTTAGAGACCCCCCGCGTCGACGACGATCGGCGCCGACACTCGGCGCGTCAACAACGATCGGCACCGACACTCGGTGCCGACTCTCGGCGCCGACTCTCGGCACCGACTCTTCGCACGCGCACCCACCAGAGTGTAATCTCCCCTGAGGGAGGTCCTAAATAGAGAGAAGCGATCTCTGCCACCCCGACGCACACAAGGCGTACTCTGTCACTGCGAAGGGAAGAATCCTGACGCGGGCGCGCGTTACGAATGCGCAGGAAGTGCCCGTTCACGGTCTGCCCGCTCATCCTCAACGTTCTGCGGCTCAGCGCGGATCCAAGAAATCCGCGCGTAGCGCCAAACATTTATGTTCATGCGTTTTTTCCTCTAGGGGGGGATCGCGTGCGGGCGCAGGAGTGAACCGTCTTGCGCGCGGGCGCGGGGCGAGTGTCTGGCGGCGGAATCTGAATGTTTACAGCGTTTTTTTATGTTTCGATCCCTGCGCTTACGGCGCGAGGGCACGGGATCACGGAATATGCAAGCCGGACCAGGAAGAGACTCGGCAAAGGAGCGGGGCCCCTCCGGGGGTCGAGGCCGGGCGGGGCTCTCCTGCGGCGCGTCTGGGACAGCTCGAGGGCCCGTCGAGCAGTTTCAGGCTGGGTTGGACGACCTCTTGCACGAGACGAGTTCTTCGTCGTTGCCGTCGTCGTCATCGTCGTCGTCGTCCGTCGTCGTCGTCATCGTCGTCGTCCTGGTCGTCACCGTCGTCGTCGTCGTGGTGGTGGTGGCGGTGGTGGTGGTCGTCGTCGTCGTGGCGGTCGTCGTCGTCGTGGTCGTCGTCGTCGTCGACCTCATCGTCGTCGTCGCCGTCTCGCTGGGGGCCGCCTGGGCACTTCATGTTGAAACCTCTCGTGGTAACTGGTGGTCTCCAGCTGTCGTGAAGCCGTCCTGGGGCAGTCTTCGGAGCCATCCTGGCCCGCCTCGGGGGCCTCGACTCTGGGGCCGTCGTGTAGAGCAGCTCGGTGTCAGAAAACCCCGGGTTCGAAAGGGAATGCCTTCCCCCCCAAACCACGACAACTCATCCAAACCCGTCCGAACCCCCCCGAAAGGCCTTCCGGAACCCTTCCTGGAGGGCTTTCGGGGGCGGTCGGGAGGGTTTCGGGAGAGTTTCGGCGGTTTTGAAAGGAAACCAGTCCCCAGCGAACCCTGGACTTTCTAAGCGTGGTGCCTCTGAGGCCATCTTGAGCTGGAAAGGGGGAAAGTCAAACAGGCACAACAAACCATGGGAAACCAGACCAGTTGGGCATCTAGGGGGCCTTGCGCGAATCATCTTGAAGCCTCTTGGGGCCCAAAACTGGGGCCTCGAGCATCTTGGAGTCCTTCAAAGACAGTCTTGGAACGCATGTTGAGGACAGGGACTGGGGGAAGGCCTGAGGGAGGGGGAGGTAAGAAGGGCTTGAGTGAGGAGGGCACAGTCGGTCGGTCGGTCTGCTCGTCAGGGTAACCCTTTGGGGTATCACACCAGTGGGCACGATGATTCAGCAATTTGGAGTGCGCGTCCCCGCGGGAGGGCCAACGACAGGAAGGCTCAGGGCTGCGCACAGACGCCCCCACGAGGCAGCCCTGGCTTGCCGCGGCGGGCCTCCATGTACCCGGGGTTGTCTCAACGCCCCAGGCCTGGGGGCCCAACACCGCGCAAGACTGCTCGGGGGGGCCTGTCGAGGGCACCTTGCCAGGGCTGAATCGGGAGGCTGCCAGCGTGCGGCCGCGAGCCTTGCAAAAAAAACCCACGGCGGCAGAGCAAGCGGAGGACCGTGCGGCACACTTCTCAAAATCGCAGACGCTCTTCCGGAACTCCGCGTGCTTGCGGAGCTCGCGCTCGCCACCGGCCGAAACGGGCGAGCCGTACCAGAAGAACATGCCTGCCCCACCCACATCATGCTCTCATTCACTCGTGTCTCGCCGCTTCCTGCGACACCTCGTGCATCTGCTGCCCACCTCCCCATCCTCCCACCCTGGCGTTGACTCGCAGGTCCAGGGGGCTCGACAAAGTTTACGCTCTTCTCCTCCTCCTCCTCCTCCTCCTCATCAACATCATCATCATCATCATCATCATCATCATCATCATCATCATCATCATCATCATCATCATCATCATCATCATCATCATCATCATCATCATCATCATCATCATCATCATCATCATCATCATCATCATCATCATCATCGTCATCGTCATCGTCATCGTCATCATCATCATCATCATCATCATCATCATCATCATCAGCATCATCATCATCAGCATCAGCATCATCATCACGACCACCACCACCATCATCATCATCATCAGCAGCATCAGCATCATCATCACCATCACCATCATCATCATCATCATCATCACCATCATCATCATCATCAGCATCAGCATCACCATCATCATCATCACCATAATCAGCATCATCATCTTCATGATCAGCATCATCATCATCGTCATCATCGTCATCACCATCATCATCAACATCGTCATAATCAGCATCATCATCAGCATCATCATCCTCCTCATCCTCATCATCATCCTCATCGTCATCATCATCACCATCATCATCATCAACATCATCGTCATCAGCAGCAGCAGTATCAGCATAATCATCTTCATCATCTTCATCATCAGCAGCATCAGCATCAGCATCATCAGCATCATTTGCATCATCAGCATCAGCATCATCAGCATCACCACCACCACCACAACCATCATCATCATCATCATCATTATTATCATCATCATCACCATCATCATCATCATCATCATCATCATCATTATCTTCATAATCATCATCATTGTAATCAACATCATCGTCATCATCATCAGCAGCAGCATCATCAGCATCATCAGCATCGTCATCATCACCATCGGCAGCAGCAGCATCAGCCTCAACACCAGCATCATCATCAGTATCATCAGCATCCTCATCATCAGCAGCATCCTCATCATAATCATCAGCATCATCATCATGGTCAGCGTCGGCATCATCATCGTCAGCATCGTCATCATCGTCATCATCATCTTCATCGTCATCAGTTTGCTCATGCTTTCCTGCGGTTATTCCTCTTGCCACTCCATCTCGAGATCCTCGTCCGTCTCATGTTTTAAGTAAGCGCAGTGCCCATCATTTCCCGGTCCTCACGCCCTCACTCCCGAGATCCCTCCTTCCCCATCCTCTCTGAGTGGCTCCTCCTCCTGCTCCTCGTCCTCGCCCTATTCCTCTTCCTCCTCCTCCTCCTCCTCCTCCTCCTCCTCCTCATCCTCCTCCTCTTCCCCCTCGTCCTCCTCCTCCTCGTCCCCCTCCTCGTCCTTCTCCTTCTCCTCCTCCTCTTCCTCCTCCTCCTCGTCCTCCCCCTCCTCCTCCCCCTCCTCCTCCTCGTCCGCCCCACCCCCGAAGGACATGCTTCCTCACCTCCCTCATGCCCGTCGGGAGTCCCCCTCCCAATGGGCAACCTCCACCCCCAGCCCCTCCGAAACCGGCGCGCCAGTCGAGGGACTCGGCCACCACCTCTCGGCGAGCGGCCGCGGGGGCACGCTCAGGTGCGGCGAGTGAGGCACAGGATAGAGGAAAACAATCAGTGGACACTCCCCTGTCCAAAATTCAGAATTGGCACGCGTGGGGAAGACTGCGGTCGAAGTGCAACTGCTTCAACTCACCGCCAACATTGATCATTGGGAAGGGGCATTGACAGATGAGTGTGGCAGAACGTGGCAGGAGTGTTCGCTAATTTCTTCCAAGGCTACAGTAGGGGCCCGACCACAAGAAACCTTCCCCACGAAACCAACCCTAAGACCCCAGGATGTGCATTGATTTTTGGTGGTGGAACGTCACGCTTTCCACAGCAAAACCATCGAAACCCAAGAAACCCAGGGCACCCTGGAGGCAAGCAGGGTGTTTCTTGGCATGGGCCTCCACTGCATCGCGGGCAGAAGGAAGGGGTCATCGGAGCTCTTCCAAAGGGAGGGCGAAGCGTGCGGAGACTTACAAAAGCTTGGACGTTGTTGGCCCACCCCAGGCCTCAGTAGGACTCCAGGAGTGCGCGGTTTCCCCCCGGGCCGTAGACGACCCGAGGAGGAGGACGGGTCGCCTAAGCCCTTGAGAAAAAAACCCTCCATCCAGGAGCCATGATGCGACAAGGAGGAGGACGAAGAGGAGGAGAAAGGGGGGAAACGAGAACGGGAGGCGCGAGACAGAAGCAGGACAACGGGGAGGCAGAGCGGCACGCGAGCCGCCCGACCAGACCAGCCAGACCAGACCCAAACAGAACAGACTACACCACACAAAACTAAGACGTGCCAAACAACAATAACAACAACAACAACAACAACAACAACAACAACAACAACAACAACAATCATTTTACCCGAACGCTCAGTGTTCTCCCCAGTGCCAGGGTTTTCTTGCGACACCAGCCAATACCCCCACTTCGTGGGGGGGCCGTTCAAGCTCTACCAAATATCCAAACGACTCTTCGAGACCACCCACACCCAGCTTCCCGCCCTATGACGTTGGGACACTTCACTTCGTGGCGTGCGGACGACCCTGGCTACTACACTGGCGTGGGGTACACACCCACAGAGGTTGGTCACATCTGTTACATATGATGTGGTACACGGTACACGTGAGATGGTACGCTGTTGGGGTCATCTTGGGTTTTACAGATTCATCAAGAGACCGCGAATGGATTTCGAGATTTTTCGGATGAGAAAGTAGTGCGTTTTCATATGTTTTCTGAACATCGCATCTTGAAATTATTGAAAACCCATTGTGTTTGGCAGGATTTCGACATGCGCGCGCGGCGGCCGCGCGCATGTGCACTTCGTCTCATTTTTTGCAAGGGATGGTGGCCCTCGCAGGCGCGCAACCGTTGTTGGAGAAGTTCAAAGCACCTGAAGAAGTAGCACGCAAAGACCCTTTTGACAGAAATGTTTAAAAAGTGGTGTGTTTCCTATGAATCCGCAAGAGCGCGCGGAAGGACATTTTGACAATTTTTTCTTAAAAAACCATTGGGTTTTTGATGTTTTTATGTTAAAATCGTTACGAAACCTAAGGTTTTGGAAGGATTTCGTCTTGCGCGCACGAATGTCCACTTTACCTTATTTTTTGCAAGGGATTCTTGCAATTTGATCAAGTAAGAACAAGAATTTTCATTTTATAGTGTTTTTTGCAAGGGAAAACGGAGTACAACAAAACAACCGGATCCGGTAATAATTCACTTTTCTGAAGCTTTCGCTAAAAAATGATGAAAATGTAGCTGCGGCCTAGGTTTTGGAGGGGGGTCGCGCACCAGGGGTCCCAACAATAATTATTCTTTAGAAGTAATAATGTTCAACAACAACAACAACAACAACAACAGCAACAGCAACAGCAACAGCAACAGCAACAACAACAACAACAACAACAACACCACCACCACCACCACCACCACCACCACCACCACCACCACCACCAACAACAACAACAACAACAACAACAACATTCACAATCATACAACATCATACCACACTGGACCATACCAGGCCAAACCAAGTCAAAACAGGCCAGACGAAGAGAAGGAGGAAAATGATGCGGAAGAAAGCGGGGAACGCAATACACACGCCCCAGTACCAACCAATCATGACCCTTGAGGACCTGCTGCCCTGGGGGCGAGCGCCTCAAAATGCTCGAGAGCCGCGGTGATTCCACGCACGCCTGAGTTCGGTCCCCGCGCGTTTGTGCGCGGTCGCACTTCTGCCAGCGATCAGCCTGCAAACGGTGCAGTAGTATTGGTATTTGCCCGTATCGATCACTTCTGATGTGCAGCGGACGTTGCAGCAGCGAGACGTGCGGAACCGCCTGTCGTGAGGAGCGCTCGCGGCCGCGGCTGCAGGGGCCCATTTCGATGCAGGCGCCAGTGCCGCTCCGGCGCAGCGGCGAACAACAAGGGCAGCGCGTGCACCTGTCGCGTCGGCGCCTGGCAGAGCCGCCATCGGCATCGTAACAAAACGCAGGCTGAGCTGCAAGCGCTGAAAAGCATTGAAAAAATGCTTCCTACCCAACTACTGGGGAGACGCTGCCCAAAAAAGATCTACTTGTCAGAGCCAGGTTGCGGTGGCCATGGCAATCCGCTGCCATACGCCCGCGCTGGCCTCTTCAAGATGAAGAAAGCCCACCCGTCCATTGGCTAGCGCGAGATCGTCCGTGGAGAAGGCAATGGCGAAAGCCTGGAGCCCAGCACTGGCCGCCTTTGGGGATCTTGCCCTTGCCACACATGCCATTAATCTGCTCTCCTCTCTCGTCAGCCCTGGTTCTTTGGGGGCTGGACGGCCCAGATGCGGCAGGCGAGAGTAACGCGTCGCAGGGAAAGCAGCTCGGGCATGCACGCCCGGTCCACCGAGACCTGCAGGCGTGTCGCGCGATGAACTGGTGTCGCGGACTGGCGTCTGCAGCCACGGCTGCCGAGCAAGCACGGTGGCGCTGCGCCGAACACAAGGCGACTCGCTTTGAACCGGCAGCCGGAGGTCCTCGGATCAGGCCTCCACGCGCGCAAAGGGGGGGCACAACATCTTGAGCCAACGTGACTGAGGACGAGGAAAAGGGAGTCCTATGATGATTTTTCGATGCGACCCCCGGCTGCAACGGGCACGGCCCTTGCGGACCCCCCAGAACACATCGTCGATATCGCCAGCGAGCAGGCTGTAGATCCGCCACAGGGCAGGCCCCATCAACTTGTTCACCTGCGGGTGAGGTTACGCGGACTGGCGGCTTGGGGGGTTTCCCTGCCCTCCTCTGGGCGGGCAGGCCGGCTGTCCCCATCTTGACGAAGCCAGCCGGGGCGTCCAGGCAACCCGAAGGCTCCCTCCGGTGAGCTGAGGCCAACTGGACGTCAGATGATGTAGCACTGGCCAGGACAAAAACGGTCAAAACACACACACACACACACACAAACACACACGCAACCAACCACACGCACGCACGCACACACGCACGCACGCACGCACACACACACACACACACACACACACACACGCACACACACACACACGCACACACATGTGTAGATACAGAGGGAAATATGTATGTATGTATGTGTGTGTTGTGCACACACATATATATGTATATACACAGGTATACATGTATATACATATGGCGGGTTCTCGTTTGTTCTGTTACCGGCCTCGTGACCCCCACATCCCCCCGGCACCGGGGGCGACCCCAGCAAGGCCATCCTGACCTGACCACAAACTGAGGATGTAGCTTACGGCGCTGGTTCTCAAAAAACAAGCTTTCGCGTGAGACATCCTCAGAAAAATGAGATGTTGCAGATCGGGCGTCGGATATCCAACATGGTGTGGAGAAGCGTTTCGCTTGAGACAGCCTCGCAACAAGGCGTTGTTGGAAGAGTTGCCTTACGACGCGAATTCTCAAACATGAAGCGTTCGCCTGAGACATCCTCAGAAAATTGAGATGTCGGAGATCGGGCGTCGGATATCAGGCATGGCGTGGAGGAGCGTTTCGCTTGAGACATCCTCGCAACAAGGCGTTGTTGGAAGAGTTGTCTTCTAACGTTGATGCTCAGGAATGAAGCGTTCGCCTGCGACATCCTCAGAAAGATTAGATGTTGGAGATCGGGCGTCGGATATCCAACATGGCGTGGAGGAGCGTTTCGCCTGAGACATCCTCAGAAGATGGGGATGTTGGAGGAGTTGTCTTACGGCGCTGCTTCTCAAACAGAAAACTTTCGCCTGCGACATCCTCAGAAACATGAGATGTTGGAGATTGGGCGTCGGATACCCACCATGGTGTGGAGGAGCGCATCGCCTGAGGCATCCTCACAATATGGGGATGTTGGCGGAGTTGTTGCACGACCTCGATCCTCAAAAAGAAAGCTTTCGCCGGAGAAGTCATCGGAAAATTGAGATGCTGGAGATTGGGCGTCGGTTATCCGACATGGTCTGGACAAGCGTTTCGCCTAAAACATCCTGACAAAATGGGGATGTTGTAGGAGCTCGCTTACGACGTTGATCCTCAGAACGAAAGCTTTCGCCTGAGACATCCTCGGAGAAATGAGATGTCGGAGATCGGGCGCCGGATATCCATCATGGTGTGGAGGAGCGTTTCGCCTGAGACATCCTCACAATAAAGAGGATGTTAGGGGATTTGTCTTACGGCGCTGGTTCTTCAAATTAAAGCTTTCGCCTGAAACATCCTCAAAAAATGAAATGTTGCAGATCGGGCGTCGGATATCCATTATGACGTGGAGGAGCGCATCGCCTGAGACATCCTCCCAATATGGCGGATTCCCGTTTGTCCTGTCAGCAGCCTCTCGGTCCCCGGCTTCACCCATCACAGGGTGCGACCCCAGCAACACCTTCCACACTGCCACTGTCAAACGGAAAGACCTTACAATGACATCAACAGGAAATTGTCGCCTGAGACATCCTCAGAAAAATGAACATGTTGGAGATCGGGCGTCGGACATTCAAGATGGCGTGGAGGAGCGTTTCGTTGCAGACATCCTCACACAATGGCGTTGTTGGAAGCATTATCTTACGACGCGAATGCTCAAGCATGAGGCTTTCTCCTGAGCCATCCGCAGAACAATGAAGATGTTGGAGATCGGGCGTCGGATATCCAACATGGTATGGAGGAGCATTTCGCTTGAGACATCCTCACAAAGTGCCGTTGTTGAAAGAATTGTCGTACGAAGCGAGTTTTCAAACTTGAGGCTCTCGCCTGCGACATCCTCAGAAAAATGAGATGTTGGAGATCGGGCGTCGGATATCACACATGGTGTGGAGGAGCATTCCGCTTGAGACATCCTCGCAAAATGGCGTTGTTGGAAGAGTTGTCTTACGACGCGAATTTTCAAACATGAAGCGCTCGCCTGAGACATCCTCAGAAAATTGTGATGTTGGAGATCGGGCGTCGGACATCAGACATGGCGTGGAGGAGCGGTTCGCTTGAGAAATCCTCGCAACAAGGCATTGTTGGAAAGGTGGTCTTACGACACGAATTCTCAAACGTGAGGCTCTCGCCTGAGCCATCCGCAGAACAATGAAGATGTTGAGAGATCGGGCGTCGGGTATCCAGAATGGCGTGGGGATGCGTTACGCTTGACACATCCTCACAAAGTAAAGATGTTGGAGGAGTCGTTTTACAGCGTTGGTTCTCAAAATTGAAGCTACCGCCAGAGACATCTTCAGGAAATCGAGATGTTGGAGATCGGGCGTCGGGTATCCAGCATGGCGTAGAGGAACGTCTCGCCTGAGACATCCTCACAATATCTGGATATTGGAAGAGTTGTCTTACGACCCGAATTCTCAAATTGAAGCTTTCGCCTGATACACCCTCAGAGGTTGGAGGCCGGTCTTCGGATATTCAACATTGCGTGTGTGGGGGGGGGAGGGGGCGTTTCGCCTGAGACATCCTCACACAATGGGAATGGTAGAAGAGTTGATTTACGTCATTGGTTCACCTAGTAGTGAAGCTCTCGCTTGACACATCCCCAGGAAAACGATATGTTGTAGATCGGGCGTTGCTAGAAGACTTGTCTTACGACCCGAATTCTCAAAATGAAGCTTTCGCCTTGGACATCCTCAGAAACGTGAAAATGTTGGAGATCGGGCGTCCGACATCCAACACAGCGTGGGAGGGCGTTTCGCCTGAGACATCCTCACAAAGTGGCGATGTTGGACAAGTTGTTGTAGGACGCTTTGTTCTGAAAAAAAGAAGCGCTCGCCTTAGACATCATCAGGAAATGAAAAGGATATCCAACATGGTGTGGAGGAGCGTTTCGCCTGAGACGCCATCGCACCATTGGGGTGCTGGCGGAGTTGTGTTACGACGTTGGTCCTCAGAAACACTTACCCGTTCGCTTAAGATGTATTTAGGAAGTTGAGATGTTGAACGTGGGCATTGGATATCAAACTCGGTGTGGCTGGACGTTTCGCTGCGGACATCCTCAGAAACATGTTCAGTAAGCTCCCGAACTCGACGCGCCTTCAAGAGCTGGGCTCTCGTCCGAGACATCCTCAGTGAGGATGTCTCGGACAAGAGCCCATGTGTGAGGATTCCTCACAAATGGAAGCGTCACCAGAGAAGTCTGACAGCAGATTACTTGACATGAACTCCTTACTAGGTTCGTGGGCCCCTCAAACTTTCAGCATCTTGACGCACATGCCTCGCAGTGCGGTGCCCGCCTACTGTGAGCCATGACGCGGGGCAATGGGGAGGCCAGGCGCCCTCCGCACATGTCAATCGCACATGCCAGACACTCTCACCAAGAAGCTTGTCGCGGGGGGGCGCAACCAGGGGCCCTCCAGAAGGGCCCCCGTGGGCCATGGGGTTCACCGAACGATTTCGGGCCAAAACCCTCCCCGGCACCTCCCCGGCACCGGCGTCAGGGTTGCCCCTCACGGCACCCCGGGCGACCCCGGCACCCGGGCGACCCCGGCACCCGGGAGCCCCCCTGGGCGACCCCGGCACCCAGGTTTCCCCTGGCACCCTCCCCCTTGGGAGCGCTGGTTCTCAAACTGCTCCTGCCCTCGCCATTCCTCCCTGTCCCGTGCCCTTCCTCCTTCTCCTCCTCCTCCTGCGCCCCTCCCTCCTCCACTTCCCCCTTCCTCCTCTCCCTCTGACGCCTCCCCCCGCCATCCCATTGTGCAAAAATATCCTGGCGAGATGATATATTGTGAATGCCGTCGTTGTGAGCATCGCCCTCGGTAAGCTCACTGTGGAGCCACGAGCCGTGTGAGCGGTGTGCCGTAATGGAGGCGGCGGTGCCATGCGGACCCTGCCACTGGAGCCTTCGGCGGCGCTCCCGATGGGGCCACGAGCCGTGTGAGCGGTGTGCCAACATGGAGGCGGCGGTGCCATGCGAACCCTGCCACTGGGGCCATCGGCGGAGCTCCTTCTGGGGCCACGAATCGTGTGACGGGTGTGCCGACATGGAAGCGGCGGTGCCATGCGAACCCTGCCACTGGGGTCTTCGGCGGAGCTCCTTCTGGGGCCACGAACCGTGTGAGCGGTGTGCCGAAATGGAGGCGGCGGTGCCATGCGAACCCTGCCATCGAGGCCATCGGGGAAGCTCCCTATGGCCCCTATGGGGCCACGAACCGTGTCAGGGGTGTGCCGAAATTTAAGCGGCGGTGCTATGTGAACCCTGCCACTGGGGCTTTCGGCGGAGCTCCCTATGGGCCCGCGAAACATTTGAGGGGTGTGCCGAAATAAGCATGCGGAAGCAGCGGCCACTTCAGGTCACGGCATCTCCGAGCCGAGAGATCCGACGACGTGTCAAGCGAAATGGGCTGGACCACCTCTCGTGTAGCGTCTGGGAGCCCAGAATTGCGAGGATGTCTCAGGAGGAGCGGGCCGGACTATCGCAGATCCGGTCTCCTCAAAACGCAAACTTGTGACGATCTATCATGCGAAACGGGCTGGACCACCTCAGCATTTGGATCATATCTCGACGCGCGGGCCTCTCGGGCGGCACTCGTTCTTACCATACCAACGCCCCCCGGCACCGGCTGGGCGACCCGGGGACGCTCCACAACAAATCCTTTATGCCACCAACAAACGAGAACCTCCCATATATCTATACACATATACACAAGATTGCAGTGGCGCTTCGCGCCATGCACATTGGTCTTTGAAGTTGAGCATGCAAGCGGAATGGCAATAAGGCCGAATAGACAATGTAGCGAAAATTCCTCGTTGCCGGTTCCAACATCGCCAT